ATTCCAGAGACCCCCGGGAGCTCTGAGCTGAAATTCCATCTCGGGCACAGACAGGAGGCACGGGAGGAGGAGCTGTGCCAGGCCTGGGCACAGACACATCGTGCCCTGATCCCAGAGGCACCCGTGCATGGAGAGCACCCAGAGGGCTGTGCCCACACAGGCAGCCCCCGGAGACACTGGGATTGTCACTGTCACCACCCCAGCCAGGCCCTGTGCCTGGCACCCTCTGCCATGGATATTCATTGTGTGAACATGGACAGCCCCAGCTGAAACCCCCCAAAGCCTGTCTGCAAGGTAAGGGCAATGGGACTAAACAAACAGTATTTATTCTATTTCTCCCTTTTATCTTGCACAGACCAATCAGTAATTTTACACACTAAATAAGTGTTTATTTTAAATTGAATTTCCCTTCTCCACCTAATAAGCCAGTAGGCACCTTCCACCACTCAGATCTTGGACACTGCTGAAATCACCTGGTTCCTACAACATTACAAATGGGTTTGTGTGCCCTGTTTGCATTAAAACACCACAAATTAGGCCCTGGGTACTGGCCATGCTCCAATGGACACGAGAGCATCCGCATTCCTGCAGAGTTACAGTGCTTCCTCCACAGACTGGATTTATATCCACATCCAAACCAAATAAATCATCAACCACAGCCCCTAAACCAGCTCACTTATAACACCAAGTGTGAATAATGAAATGTCATAATATTTGCCCAAGACACGTGGTTTGTTTGCTTTCAATAAATAAAGTCTAGAAGGGAAAAAAAAAAAAAAAAAGCAGAGGTAATGCTTCCTCTTGGTGTTGGTCATTGTTGGGAGTAGGAACGGCCTCTGGATGGGGGGAACCAAGGCAGAAAGGGGAGAAGAACCCAGCTGGAGCCAAGGCAGTGCCCGCTGCTCAGCATCCCCAGGGCAGGCTGCACGAGCCAGGCCAGGGCAGCCGGGCACAGCCCCAGGCTCAGCCCAGCCGGGCACAGCCCCAGCCTCAGCCCAGCCAGGCCAGGGCAGCCGGGCACAGCCCCAGGCTCAGCCCAGCCGGGCACAGCCCCAGCCTCAGCCCAGCCAGGCCAGGGCAGCCGGGCACAGCCCCAGGCTCAGCCCAGCCGGGCACAGCCCCAGGCTCAGCCCAGCCAGGCTCAGCCCAGCCGGGCACAGCCCCAGACTCAATTCATCCCACCCAGGGCTCCGTGACACCCCCCCAACAGAGGGCACACAGGAATCTCCCTCACCGCTGCTGTATTTACTCGGTGCCTGCAGCCCTGGTTTCCAGCAGCTGGCAGCGTGCCAAGCTGGGATCTCAGGTGCTCACAAACTGGTCAGCTCTGCCTCTGGGTAAAGTAACCCAATTGGCACAATGGGGCTGGTGCTGCCCTCAGGGACCCCCAGCCCAGCACCAGTGCCACAGACACAGCCCGGCCTGAGCTCCCCAGCTGCTCTTGGGGAAGGGAAGGGGCTCAGCAGCCTCACTGCAGCCCGAGCCCAGCCCAGCACGCAGCTCTGACAGGCAGTGCCACAGGGAACAGAACCACACAGCTCAGGCAGAGCAGGAGGGGGAACAGCAGCTGAAAGCTCCACACGCAAAGCTCCCGGCGCTAGAAATAGGATCTGTGTTCTGTGCTGGGTTGTTAGGAGACTCATCCTGCTGCAGGGCTTGGAAGGATTGTATTTGCAGGCATTGGGAGCCTCCTGGCCGTGCCACAGCCAAGGAATGTCCAACCCCTCTGTGCATCTCAGCCATGGGGCAGGCAGGGCACACAGGGCAGGCAGGGCACACAGGCTCCCTCCCTCCTGACCTAAACCTGTGCCACAGAGCCCTGCTTGTGCTCATTCCCTCCTCAGTGAGACACTTTTAACCACCTGCTTTCCCCCTACACCCAGTGCAGCTGGGTAGGAGCCTTCCTGAGCCATGCTGGGCTCCTGGCAATGCCCCTGGCCCCTGGGACAGGGAAAGCTTCATTTGACTGCTGCCTCTCTGGACTCAGGAGAAAACAAACACCCCCAGGATGAACCACAGCCAGCGGCAGGCTGGGAGCCCTGCTCTGACCAGCAGCACAACTGGTTAACTCTGATTATCTCAGAATACCCCGCTGGTTATGTCAAGGGATAAATCAAGGCAAGACTGCCTCTTGATAAGGAAAAGCCAAGTGAGGCTATTTTAAAATGAAAATGCAGAGGAATTCAGAGTGCCAGCGAGAGAGAAGAGCTGAGATTAGGAGGTGACACAAGCACAAGCTGCAAGAGGCCTCTCCAGAGCTGTCCTGCGCCTTCAGCAGAGGAGCAGCAGCACCCCAGGAGCTGCCCAGGGCTGGATTCAGCCAGAGCAGCCCTGGCAGTACCCAGGGCAGGGCTGTGAAGCACCTGGCTGGGCTGGGGCTGGTCAGACCCCACTGCTGGGGACACCCCCAGCCCTGCTGAGCCCCAGCACCACCAGCCAGAGGGGAGGCAGCTCCTCAGCACCAGCTCCATCCCCACAGCCAGCAGGACAGACACCTGCCCAGCCTTTGGCACCAGCTTAGCCCAGAGCCAGAAGGTCCTGTGGGAGAGGGAATGGGCTCAGCCCTGCCCGAGGGGCTGCACAACAGGACAGGCAGCTGCAGGTGGGGCCTGTGGCACCCAGGCGCCACCAAACAGCCCTAGGGTGCCTCAGAGGGCTCCATCTCCTCTCAGCTCACCTCAGGCACCAACAGCCCCTGGTGGGACCCAGCAGAAAGGTGCCCAGAGCAGAAAGAGGCTCAGAGGTCAGACAAAGACAAAAGGAAGAGCTGTTGATCGTGGGCCATGGGACGAAATGCAGCCTCAAGGGGTGTCACAGCTGGCCTACACTGTGGGGCTTCAGAGGAGATAAAGAACTCAGAAAAAAGAGCAAATAAAGAAGGATTTGCACAAGGACAGCCCAGACCCTGCCCCATGGGCTCATCCCTGCTGAGAGGCAGCACCACCAGCCCCAGCATCCCACCAGGATCCCCAGCTCTTACAGCGAGACCAGGATGCAGAGATGGGTGGCTGTGTATCACAGGGGCAGGAATCTGATATTCATAGACTTTCTCTCTGCTTTAAAGGGCAAGACTCCTTGTATGGAAACAAACTAGGACAACAGCTTGAATGATAAATCACCCTTCTTCTGTACTTCCTCTCTGAAATTTAATTTTAATTGATATTAAACATGACAGAGCTTCTGCTCAAACTCCTATTTGCCAGCCCTGATTTCCGCTGCCTCTGCAGGGCTGATGCCAACACAACCCTGCCCTCAGCAGCCTCTGCGCCACCAGTCCTGGAGGGCTCAGGGGCCACCCAAGCACAAGAGCCCCGTGCCCCTGGCAGGGCCAGGGCACTGCCCAAGGCAAGGCTTTCACCCAGGGCTCTGGCACAAGCACAGCCAGGCTGCAGCCCTCAGTGACGCTGACAGGGAGGAGAGCCACCCTCCCAATTTCTCCTTCTTTACTATTCCTTCACCGCAGTTCTGGGCTGCTCATTTCCACAGGAGCTTTGATCTCAGTGAGCTTTATTTCTGCTTTATTCTTCTCTGCTCAAGAGAACTAAATCCATTTTGCTTGCTGGGTCCTAGGGGCAGGTTATTTATCTGACTTCTAGCAGGCTTCCAGGCCCCCAGCCCCAGTCCTACAATGTGCTCCCACGAGCAGTGCTGCCCTGAGAGCACCCAGGAGGCTGCTCAGGCTGGGGGCAGCGCTCACTGCCTGCTCCTGCAGAGGATTCTTAATAAATGTTCTGACAACGGAGGGTTTGCATTTCAGTGAAAAACCTCCGATGGCTTCCACGTGGGGTAGATCTGTGCAGCAGACGGGGCAGAGCAGCGCTGAGCAGCGTGCCCTGCCCCGTGTGTGTGCCCCTCTGCTCTCACACCAGAGGCTGTGTGCCCACAGCCTGAAGTACTCAGAAATGCATTTATTTATAGCAGCTACAGTGCCACGGAACCTCCCCGTGCCTCTGCCGGCTGCGGGAGGGAGGGAGGGAGACATTCGCTATCTGCCGCCGCTGCTGCCTGGGTGTGCGGTGCCGGGACACCGGGCCGGGATACCAGAACGGGGACACCGGGGCAGGGACACCAGAACCGAGCCGGGCCACCGGGACAGGGACACCAGAACCGAGCCGGGCCACCGGGACAGGGACAGCAGAACGGGCCGGGACACCGGGGCACACAATCGCTGCCCTGCAGTGCCAGCCGTGCCCGGGGCTCTGCAGGGGCACCTCCACACCCAGCGCCTGCCTGGGCACCGCCAGCCTCCCCCAGGACCTGCCAGTCCCCTTGCTACCCCATTTTGTAAAGGGCTTTTTTCACAAAACCATCACTTTTAAACAAATCCTCAGATCAGAAAGGCAGGAGCTCACAGGAGACATTAGACTGAGGAGGATTAGCAAAGTACAGCGCTGGTTAAATAAATATTAACCAAGAAACCCTGGAGGAGATATTCCAACCACTGTGGTTCTGTGGTTTGGTCTTGGATTTCCTCGAGTTTGCATGGGTGAGAAGGTGGAAGCTGAGGAACCCAGGCTGGCACCACAGGCCTTCTCCTGGGCTCTGAACGGCCCCTGAGGAGCTCTGGCCAGCCCAGGACAGGGTGGCATCTCTGGGTGATGTTTACAGACACAATTCCTGAATTCCCCAGCTGCTTCATTTACAGATTCACAAACAACTACTTCTCCTAGTCTTTTGGGCACTTTTGCCCCAATTTGGGCATTGTTTCTCCCACACAAGGATAAGATCCCACCAGCACGGCTGGGCTGGGGGCTGCACACCCACCCTGCCCTGGCTCAGAGGCCACCAGCCGCCCACGCACATGCCATCCCCCTGAGGTGGCAGCACGGGGGCGGCCCAGAAAAGCCCCTTTAAGGGACACTTCAGGGCGGCCTCGGCAGCCAGGACATTAATTTTAGCCTGGCGCAGTGCCAGGGGCACGGGCAGCTGCTGCGGGCGGGGCCAGCGCCTCCTGTCCCTGTCCCTGTCGCTGTCCCCAGCGCTGCCAGTCCCGCCCAGCCATGGCCGAGGAGCACCGCGAGCTGGAGGAGCGGATCATCATCAAGGACCAGCACACCAAGGAGATCGACCTGGTCAACAGAGACCCCAAGCGCATCAACGAGGACGTGGTGAAGGTAGGGCCGTGCCCCAGCAGCAGCCATCGGCGTTTGGGGTCACACCTGGGGGCTGGGGCCAGGTGTCCTGGCATGGCTGGGGCCGTGCTCCTGCTCCATGTGGCCCGGCAAAGCTGTCCCTAAGGCTGGGGAGGTGACAGCCCTGCTGGCCGGGGGCACGCCTGGCTCCAGGTAATGCCACATTTCCCACGCCTTGAATGGGCTCTCCAGTTTCATTGTGGCTTGAAAATTTATGGAGATCCTTCCTTTGCACCAGCAAGCTGGCAGCCAAAAATAACACAGAAATTAAATATTACCAGTTTAATTACCAGGATATTGGGAAAAGGCTGCTGGCCTTGGAGGCACCCCAGTGTCAGTGCCTGTTGTTTGAGGTGTGTTGTCATGTTTGTGGAAGATTGCTCTCCCCAGGGCAGCCCAGAGGTGCAGCACCCCCAGCTCTCTCCCCTCATTTCTAACCAAGAGGAATTCCCATTCTAACTCTTGGGCTTCCTCTAGACTCCCTTACAACTGCAAACAAATTTTGTCTCTGTTAGCAAAGATAATTCCAGCCCAAATGAGAACAGGAGGACAGGAAGAGGTGAAAGGGTTTTGTTAAAACCATGTTTGTGACTGTCACAGCAGAAGGGACAGAGGGCACAGAGCTGCTCACACAGGCTTTGTTACAGGCTGTGACCTTGCCAGCTCTGCTGAAACACAAACCTCAGTTTGGGCATGAGAGCACCATTACAGCTGCAGCCGTGGTGTGGTCAAACGGGATGAGCTGTGACACTGACAGCCATCGCTGGGCTCCCTGCTGGCACTGTGACACCTGCCCTGACACCTCAGCATCCCCAGCCTCACATCCAACAGCCGTGCCACTGCCAGCAGTGCCTCCCACAGCCCTGGCCTGGGGCTGGAGAGGTGCCAGGCCAGGGGAGCCCCATCTGCCACGGCAGCAGGGACCAGCAGAGCCCCCAGCCCACGGCAGCAGGACCAGCAGAGCCCCCAGCCCGCGGCACCAGGGACCAGCAGAGCCCCCAGCCCGCGGCACCAGGGACCAGCAGAGCCCCCAGCCCACGGCAGCAGGACCAGCAGAGCCCCCAGCCCACGGCAGCAGGGACCAGCAGAGCCCCCAGCCCACGGCAGCAGGACCAGCAGAGCCCCCAGACCACGGCAGCAGGGCCAGCAGAGCCCCCAGCCCGCAGCAGCAGGGCCAGCAGAGCCCCCAGCCCACGGCAGCAGGGCCAGCAGAGCCCCCAGCCCACGGCAGCAGGACCAGCAGAGCCCCCAGTCCATGGCACCAGGGGCCAGCAGAGCCCCCAGCCCACGCTTTGGGGTTCCCCAGCCCAGGAGCAGCAGCAGCCACTCCTGGGTGACAGTGCCAGCAGTGTCCCAGCCATGCCAGGGCCCCACCAGCCCCTCCCTGCCTTTCCCACTCCAGACTCTCCAAAGCCTGACGAGACCTTCCAGGCTCACCCACTCCCATGGCCACGCTGCTGCTCCAGCACTCAGAGCTCAGCGTTCAGAGCTCAGCTCAGCATTCAGAGCCCAGCATTCAGAGCTCAGCCCAGCATTCCTCCACCCTAAAATAGCCCGGGAGGGCCGGGGAGGGAGGGCAGAGGCAGCCCGGGCAGGGGCACGGCTCACCCTGCTCTGTCCCTGTCCCACCCCAGCACCAGGGCATGTGAGCAGGAGGGCTCTGAGGCCCAGGCAGCAGGAGCTGCAGTGCCCACCAGAGGAAGGGCTCACCTGGCCCTGGATAAACACCTGAGCACCACAGAGCAGCAGCCAGAACTTGGGATCAGGTCACAGAAGTGGCTCTGCCCGCAGAGCCTGTCACAAACCCCCCGCAAGCACGGCACCAGAGCAGGGCCTGGCTCACTGGGTGAGGCTCTCCCAGCACAAAGGGTTCCATGGTTCTATAAAGGAACAGTACCTGCACGTGCTGCTCCCTGAGCACCTCCAGCACGATCCAGACTCAGCCTGAGCCCCCACTGCTCCTCCAAGCCCACTCCCAGTGTGGTGACAGCAGAAAGAGCAACGGGGCAGAGCCCCTGCTTTTATATCCCACTGCTCCCTGCATCAATTGGTCCCTGATGAGCTCGTCGGGCAGTTGGGCACTAACCTGGGCCAGTCCCCAGCACACCTGGGCTTCCTAGGGGCTGCTGATGGCACCTCAGGGCCCGCTCTCAGGGCTGCTTCTCCTCATTGCCAATACTTCTGTCAGCACCCCCTGCTCACTCCAGGAAATTAAAGATGACACAGAGTGATTTTGTGATCCAAGTGCTTCCAAAAGCAGAATGGATATTGTTATTTAACACGAATGTACAGACACGTCAGCTGCCGGGGGGAGGCCGGGCTGGTTTTCAAGACAAATAGCTCAGCTCATATATTCCCTGGCAGTGAGTTACACCCCAAGGGGATCTCTGCGTGGAGTTTTGGGGAGTGTGTGTCACTCAGAGACACTCCCAGTGCCTGCACAAATGGCGAGGGCAGGGCTGAGCCCCAGCTCCCTTCCCCAGGAGGAACATGGACAGACAGCACTGAGCACCTCATCCTATGGGTATAAATAAATAATCCATAAATCCAGAGGGTGTTGGGTCTTTATTAGCACACACACCTTCCTGCCGAGTGGGCAGCCCCGTCCCTGAATGCTAAAAAAGGGCAGGAATGGGCTCTGGCTGCCTGTGCAGCCAACACTCCCACGCACAGCTCCCGTTCCAGGGGCTCCTGCCTGGCCTCACCTGACTCCCCAGATCAGGGGCTGGCACAGGGACTGTGCCCCCCCGTGCTGGGGCCCCAGGCGTGGGCTGAGCCGCCCCTGCTGCCCACAGGCTGTGGCTGGGCAGTGCTGGGCAGTGCTGGGCAGTGCTGGGAGCCCTGAGCCCTCTCCCAGCTCTGCAGGGCTGGCCCTGCCCGGGCTGCAGGGACCCAGCCCAGCACTGTCCCCGCTCTCCCCAGGCCCCTCCGTTTGGGATCTGCTCTCCCCTCGTGCTCACATCGGGGCCTTGGCTGACCCCCAGACCTCCCCTGTGTCCTCTGCTCTCCCCCAGGTGGATTTTGAGGATGTGATAGCTGAGCCCGTGGGCACCTACAGCTTCGACGGCGTCTGGAAAAGCAGCTACACCACCTTCACCGTCAGCAAGTACTGGTGCTACCGGCTGCTCTCCGCCCTGCTGGGCATCCCCCTGGCCGTCCTCTGGGGCTTCCTCTTCGCCCTCATCTCCTTCTGCCACATCTGGGCCGTGGTGCCCTGCATCAAGAGCTACCTGATCGAGATCCAGTGTGTCAGCCGCATCTACTCGCTGTGCATCCACACCTTCTGTGACCCGCTCTTCGAGGCGCTCGCCAAGATCTGCAGCAACATCCGAGTTGCTGTCCGGAAGGAGACTTAGGTGCTGGCAGCTGCCCCAACACCCTCACACAACCCCCTCCGTGCAGGCTGCCTGCCCTTGGGCACACAGAGTCCAGTGAGGGACCCAGACACGGACACCCCTGTCCAGGGAGGGATCTGAACACGGACACCCCTGTCTAGTGAGGGATCTGAACATGGACACCCCTGTCCTGTGAGGAACCTGCACACGGACACTCCTGTCCTGTGAGGAACCCAGAGGCGGACACCCCTGTCCAGTGAGGAACCCAGACACGGACACCCCTGTCCAGGGAGGGATCTGAACACGGACACCCCTGTCCAGTGAGGGATCTGAACATGGACACCCCTGTCCTGTGAGGAACCTGCATACGGACACTCCTGTCCTGTGAGGAACCCAGACGCGGACACCCCTGTCCAGTGAGGGATCTGCCCAAGGATACCCCTGTCCAGTGAGGAACCTGCGCACAGACACCCCTGTCCTGTGAGGAGCCCAGACATGGACACCCCTGTCCAGTGAGGGACCCGCACAGGGACCCTGTGGCACAGGAACCCGTGGCAGGGCCCCGCAGCAGAGCTGGCTCTCAGGGATGCTCCCTGCTCACAGAGGCAGGCCAGGCTGCTCCTTACTCCACCCAAAGCCAGAAGCCTCAGGAGAAGGGAGCCCATCGTGGCCCAGGGAACAGCCCCGGGGTCCCTGTGCCCTGCTGGCCCGCGGAGCTGCTGGGAGGCACAGGGACAGCAGCCTCTCCTGGAGAACAGCCCTGTCTGTCCATGTGCTGTCTGTCCTCAGGTGCTGGGCGAGCACTGGGGCTGCAGAGCTGCTGCTGGCCCCTGCCCAAAGCCTGCCTGCCCCTGCATCCCTCGGGGCTGGTGCTGACAGAAACTCCCCCAAAGGAGTTATTGTTTGTGGCAAACAATTGCTGTGGTAGGAGCTTCTGCATTAAACCGCTGCTCAAAGCTTTTAGGGATAGAATAGCTAAACCAAACGCTTTTCATGCCTGTTTGCATTTCAGCCAAGCTGTGAGAGCCAGAGCAGGCCATGCATGACATGTTGTGTCTGCTTCCAGAGCGTGAGCTGGTCCTGGGCCAGCTGCAAACCCGCCCCTGGCACTCGAGGCTCAATTATGTAATTAATTGTGGAGCATCGTTAAGTGCCGTGGGCAGGGTCCAGGGCAGGACAGCACGGTGGGAGCCAGCCCTGAGCGTGGCCAGGGGGGACACAGAGCCTTGGGGAACCCCAACTGAGAGACAAGCTGGGCCCTGAGCAAAGCCTGGCTTGGCTTCTCAGGCAATCTCCATGAGATACGCGTTCAGTCAGCTCCAGGCACACGGGGTGTGCATCCCACCCAGGCACACGGTGTGTGCATCCCACAGGCCAGGGCTGTCCCTCTGCCCCGATGGACAGGGAGAGCAGAGGAGGGAGCCTCTGCCAGGACCCTGCTGCTCCGGCCACAGGGAGAGAGGAGCCAGGGGTGAGAGGTGCAGCTCAGAGGTATTTCCTCCCTGTACTGTCAGTTAACTGCTCGGTCCCTCTTCCACAGGGCTGCACTTTCACTTTGAGGCCCTTGAAGGCTCTTTTGGCTCCAGCCTTAAGTGCTTTGCTGAACCAGGGCCCAGGAGGTCTCTTTGTTCAGAGGCTGCTCTCAATTGTCTCCATGTGCACTGGATTCCAACAAAGACTTGGAGCCAAAGACTCCTCTAGTGCCACGCCAAGGACGAGAAAGAGCCAGGGTTTCTGCTGGAGCTCTTCCAAGGGCTTGGGATTGTATCCTGCTGTTTTCCATAGCAATGTGGTACCCAAGCTCCAGCAACATCAGGGCCCAAGAAGGATGGAGTGATTAAAAAAAAAAAAAAAAAAAAAAAAGATATTTAGGTAATTATAGGAAGGTGGGGAAAGTCTCAAAAAACCTTTCATTTTTTGTGAGAATAAAAATAATTAAAATCAGTTGTATAATGGACTTATACTACTTGTTGTTGCTGTTCTAGTAGTTCACTGCCTGAACCCAAAAAACCCTGAAATGCTGATGTTCCCCCCACATTGCTCACCTGGGCACACACTGCTCACCTGTCAGCCCCTCTGTTCCAGTTCTGCCCTCCTGGAAAGCTTTCGGCAGAGCATTCACTGGGGCCCTCCCCAGCTGCTCTCGCTGTTCCCCTGTGCCGCAGCCTGGGGCCCGTGCAGGAGCTCAGCCACGGCCCCTCTGGGCTGCAGCACCTCCAGGCCCGGGACACGGCCCTGCCTGACCCCCATTCACCTCCAGAAACTGCAGCGGGGCTGGAGGGAATCCCCTGTGAGTCCCAAAGCTGCCTCCCTTCTCCGCGCCTCCGTCCCAGTGACATCCCCGGCTCCCGTTCCTCCCCGGCAGGGGATGCAGCTCGGGCTCTCCAGAAAGGGACACCTCCGTCCTTGTTTGCTGCAGGAGTGCGTGGCTCTCAAGGAGAAGGAAGGTGAACGTGGGAAGAAAATGCTCCATGGTGTCCTGAGGATTTCAGCCAGTCAGCAAATGTGCTATGCTCACTTGGAGCTCCCACCAAAAAAAAAAATCAAAGGAATGTCAGGACGGGAAAGGTGCAAATGGACCTGCTGGCCACAGTGAAGAAATAAAGGACACATTTAAATGCATTTTTCATGTTCATTCCCATCACGAAAGGCCAGATTACATCGCCCTTTGAGAGCCCCAGCCGTGTCCCGTGCAGTGCCGGTGTCGCAGCCAGCTGTGTGCCGCTGGGGGCAGGTCCCGCTGCGGGGCAGGGCACGGCTGGCAGCGGGCACGGCTGGCAGCGGGCACGGCTGGCTGCGGGCTCTCGGTGCTTTCCATCCATCCCCTGCAATCCCTCAGCCCAGCTCCCCCCGCGCCTCCCTCCCGCCTTCCACCAGCCGCAGTCAGAAAACTTTATTTACAGTATTTGTTTACAATAAAAATCCATGCCGTGAGTGCATCCTGTGCCACGGAGCGAGCACAGGCACGGAGCGGTGGGAGGCTTGCTGGGACCTGCGGTGAGCCAGGGCCGAGCCTGGCTCGGGGACACGGCAGGAGCGTCCCTGTGGGAGCCAGGGTCTGCCGGATCCCGCACAGCCCCGAGCAGGAGGTGCTGGGCACACCCGGACAGGGTCAGTGCCCAGAGCCCGCACAGCCCCGAGCAGGAGCTGCCGGGCACACCCGGACAGGGTCAGTGCCCAGAGCCCGCACAGCCCCGAGCAGGAGCTGCCGGGCACACCCGGACAGGGTCAGTGCCCAGAGCCCGCACAGCCCCGGGCAGGAGCTGCCGGGCACACCCGGACAGGGTCAGTGCCGTACCCCGGCCCCAGCCGTGCCCCAGGCTCCTGCCCAGCCTCACTGGGTACAGGGCACAGAGCTGGGCTGGGGACACCCGGGCCACAGCACTGTCCCTTTGAGGCTGGTCCCTGCTGACATCAGGAATGCCCTTGGCTGTGCCCCAGGCAGGGGGAGCAGGGCTGGCATGGTACAGGCTAGCATGGTTCAGAGCTGCAGGGCAGGCCTGGTGCAGGCTGGCATGGTGCAGGGCTGCAGAGCTGCAGGCCTGGCATGGTGCAGAGCTGCAGAGCTGCAGGACTGGCATGGTGCAGGCTGGCATGGTGCAGGGCTGCAGGCCTGGCATGGTGCAAGGCTGCAGGGCTGCAGGCCTGGCATGGTGCAGGGCTGCAGGACTGGCATGGTGCAGGGCTGCAGGACTGGCATGGTGCAGGGCTGCCTCTGCCCCACAGGCTGCAAGTGAAGCCAGGGCTCCTGTGCTGAGAGCGCGGAGCGGGATCCTGCTGCAGGCGGAGTGGGGCAGTGCCCAGCCACCTACCGGGGGTCACACCACCCATCTCCCTGTGCTTCCATCGCACCTGCCCCAGCGGCACCGCGTCCTTTGTCCCTCCTGGCGCCATCCACAAGCCACTGAAGTCAGGGATTGGGGCTCAGGAACGGGTTCCTGCCATCTAATCCCAGGCAGCACCGAAAGCTGGACGCAGAACTCCTCGCCCACTCCCGTCTCGGTTAAATAAGGCCTCTGTACATGCTTACACCATATTTACACCTGCGTGCAGACCCCTCTGTCCGGCCCGGCCGCCCCAGGGCAGCAGCGCAGCAGAGGCGCAAGGTCCGGCTGGCCGCGGCCTCACGTCGTGGGCGGCTGCACGAAGCTCCTCTGGCTCGCGGCCCTGCAGCTGAGGACGAAGGACGAGGAGTTGCTCCTCTTGCTCAGCTCGCAGGCCGGCCGCGACTTCAGGTAGCGCGTGGAGCAGCAGAGGAAGCGGCGCATCAGGTCGTGGAACAGGTGCCCGGTGTAGAGCATGTAGATCCAGGGGTTGCAGCAGCTGTTGAGGCTGGCCAGGAGCATGGCGATGATGAACGGGGACGCTGCGAGACAGAGGCGGTGTCAGGGCACGGCACACGGGCCCTGCCAGAGCCCCGGGCACCCCGAGACCTCTGCCCGGCAGGGATGAGCCCGCAGGGACACAGGGAAAGGAGAGCCCGCAGGGACACAGGGAAAGGAGAGCCCGCAGGGACACAGGGAAAGGAGAGCCCGCAGGGACACAGGGAAAGGAGAGCCCGCAGGGATACAGGGAAAGGAGAGCCCGCAGGAACACAGGGAAAGGAGAGCCCGCAGGAACACAGGGAAAGGAGAGAGGCTGGAACACCAGGGAAAGGAGAGCCCGCAGGGACACAGGGAAAGGAGAGCCCGCAGGGATACAGGGAAAGGAGAGCCCGCAGGAACACAGGGAAAGGAGAGAGGCTGGAACACCAGGGAAAGGAGAGCCCGCAGGGACACAGGGAAAGGAGAGCCCGCAGGGATACAGGGAAAGGAGAGCGGCTGGAACACCAGGGAAAGGAGAGCCCGCAGGGACACAGGGAAAGGAGAGCCCGCAGGGACACAGGGAAAGGAGAGCCCGCAGGAACACAGGGAAAGGAGAGAGGCTGGAACACCAGGGAAAGGAGAGCCCGCAGGGACACAGGGAAAGGAGAGCCCGCAGGGATACAGGGAAAGGAGAGCGGCTGGAACACCAGGGAAAGGAGAGCCCGCAGGGACACAGGGAAAGGAGAGAGGCTGGAACACCAGGGAAAGGAGAGCCCGCAGGGATACAGGGAAAGGAGAGCCCGCAGGGACACAGGGAAAGGGGAGCCCGCAGGGACACAGGGAAAGGAGAGCTCGCAGGGGAGGGAGTGAGGGGCCGAATCTCAGTTCCAGCGGCTCGGGATCCGGTTTGTCTCCCCCAGAGCTGCGTTCTCAGAACCTCGCGGTTCGGATTTTCTCCCCAGAGCTGCGTTCTCAGAACCTCGGGGCTCGGATTTTCTCCCCAGAGCTGCGTTTCCCCGCTCACTCCGGTATTCCCTGAGCCGCTCAGGAGGCAGAGCTGCCCCGGCACAGCCCGCACGCCTGGGGGTGCCCGGAGCGGGGAAGGGAGCGCCAGCCCGGCCCTGGCCGAGCCCTCTGCACGGTGCTCTGCCCGCACCCCTCTCCAGTGATGTTTCCTTCCCCCGAGTGAATGCTCCCCGCACAGGGCTGTGCCAGGGAGGACATTCCCACAGCAGCGAGCCTGGCATCCCCGGTGGCAGGGGATGAGGGGATGGTGGCAGCGCAGTGCCAGGACATCAAGTCCTGGCTGCTGCTCTCTGTGCCCGGAGCACAAAGCACCGACCGTCCCACCTGGGAGCGGGATCAGCTCCGTCTGGGGACAAGGGGATGGTGGCGCTGGCATCTGCCGTGGCACCAGGACAAGGGGGGACGTGCCCTCCATGAGGTGGAGATGATGGAGCCTTTGTGCTGCTCCCCGTGCTCCAGCTCAGCTCCTCAGCCCCTCTGCGCCCAGAGGAGGCACCAGCAGCGAGGACGAGCACGTCCTTTGGCTGCTCTGGCCCCTTCGTGCCTCTGCAAAAACCCACTGGCAGCTTTCAGACCAGTGAAGAAACGTGACTATAAATGCTACCTTCCAAATTCACCTTTAGCCAATGGATGCGTAATTCCTGCTCTTGTGGTATCTGCTCCAACTACTTTTAATTTCAAGTATATTCTAAAAAATAGTTAATAATTAATTTCAAGTAACATTAATATTTCAACAATAATTAATTTCAGGTATATGCTAAAAAATAATTCATTGCGGAGGCACAAGACCTGAAATACATCCCAGTGTTTCTACCCACTTGAAAACATCCAGCCAGGGCTGACTCAGCTCTTCCTCTCTGCAGGAGGCAAATTGAATTTCAGGAGCTCACTGCAGGGCAGGTCTGGAGGGCGATTGCTCCCCTCCTGGCGGGAGCACCGGAGACCCGAGGGGCGCCGACCGTGCCAGGGTGTCCCTCAGGGATGGCCCCTGTCCCCAGGCCCCGCTGGAGGGGTGCAGGGGACACCCAGCACGGGAGGGATGGGACGAGGGGTGCCCAGCTCCCACCACTGACTGCAGCACCTGCCCCGAGGGGAAGGGACCCCGAGGGGAAGGCGGAACAGCCGCGGTGCTTCACAGCCCTGCTCTTGCCCTCACAGGGGCGTGAGCCAGCTCTGACCCCGAGCTCAGAGTCCCGCAGGTGCTCCCTGCGATGTGTGTGCAGCAGGAGCCTCCTGTGGGGGGACCCAGCGCTTAAACCAGCCCCTGGATCATGACCTGTTCCCACCCAGCTCACAGAGGCTCTGGGGCGTGTGGCCGCCTAAGGGGGATCCCTGCTGCCTGCCCAGTCACCCCCGAGCAGCTCATGGGGTGCAGTCGTGCCCCCATTGCCGCTGGCACCCAGGGACCCCCTCCCCTCCTTCTGCTCTGCCCACGCAGCTGCCAGGGGAGGAACAGCCGCCTTCCCTTCCCAGCACGGGGCACCCCTCTCCTGCACCCACCGGGCTGCCTGGGCACAGGGAGGGACCCGGGGGCAGGGCAGGGCTGCGGGAATGCTGCAGGCAAAGCCCCAGTGCTCCGCAGAGAGATCTGACTGTGCTGCCCCCCTCGTGCCTCCGGGCAGCCAAAAGGTGCAGGAGAGCCTGGAAGGAAGGGCTGGGGGCTCCCAACACCTGAATCCACCTGGGCTTTTCTTCCCGTGCCTCCAGCAAGGGCCCTGGCAGAGCTCCCACGCTGTGCCGCAGCCTCGGGCTCCCGGAGACAGGAACAGAGCGCGGGGGAGTGAGGAGTGGGGCACAGCCCCGAGGGGATGGAGAGCATCATGCCTGAAAGCAAGGGAGAAGGGAAAGGAAAAAGGGAAAAGGGAAAAGTGCTGCAAGGGAAAGGTTCCCCACGAGCCAGAAGGATTGGGATGGACAAATCCTGTCCATCGAGGGCCAGCAGAGCAGCAGAGATTTGGGTGCTGCCGAGGGCTGTGTGCGGGAAGGGAGGGGCAGCCCTCAAGGTTGCAGGATTAAAGTACAGCCCAAGGAGGGCTCCTTCACCCCAGAGCCCATGCAGGAACTGGAAGTTTTGACCAGCCTGAATCAGGCGGAAAACGCCTGGAGCGCCCAGGTAGGTGCGTGAGCCACGTTCCACTTCTCCTGGAATAAATGGAGCGGAGAGAAGCGGGAGAGGCGAAGCCTGGCGGCTCCCTGGGCAGCCCAGGGGCACAGGGGCTGCGGGACACGGGGCTCGCACAGGGCTGTGCAGCGGGATGGGCCCTGTGCCCGGCTGCCCTGCCCTGCGCTGCCCAGAGCCCGCAGCGCTCGGCCCGGGCCGCCAGGGAGCAGCTGCTCCCCGGTCTCTGGTGAGCCCGTCAGCCTGCCCGAGGCGCTCTCATCCCTGGCTGCGCTTTCCTGCCCCTTCTCCCATCTCACAAAGTCGTGCAGAGTTTTTCCTTAAGGTCTCCCCCGTGGTTCTCCCGTCTGGCACAAACCTGCACAGCTCCGGCCGTGTCACACCAGGCAGGGGGACACTTTCTGTTCTATCTGCAACTTCAGGGATGACAGCAGCCAGCCCAATATAAAAAATGGCAAATCCGTGACACCATCCATGTCTTTAGGAAAAGGTTTCGCTCATAAATCAGGGTTTTTCTGCTGGAGCCGTGCTCCAGTTAGAGATAAAATAACAGCAACAAAGTGATGGGGTGGATGGAGCAGGAGGAGAGGGAGAAGAGGCCAAGAGCAGAAAGCAAAAAGTTAGCGAGGAAGAAACGATAAAACAAAGGAGAGGAATTCAGGCTGTGCAGCTTTCTCCTGAGCTCCCGCACAGCCCGCAGCATGTCCCAGCACCCAGGGTGGGCAGGGAACCTCCAGGGACCCCAGAGCAGCACCCAGGGACAGGCACCGCACAGGGACAGCCACAGTGCAGGCACAGTGGCCAGCGAGGGACAGGCACAGTGCAGGGACAGGCACCGTGCAGGGACAGGCACAGGGCAGGGACAGGCACAGGGCAGGGACAGTGGCCACCATGCAGGGACAGGCACAGGGCAGGGACAGGCACCGTGCAGGGACAGGCACAGGGCAGGGACAGGCACAGGGCAGGGACAGGCACAGTGCAGGGACAGTGGCCACCATGCAGGGACAGGCACAGGGCAGGGACAGGCACCGTGCAGGGACAGGCACAGGGCAGGGACAGCCACAGTGCAGGGACAGTGGCCAGCGAGGGACAGCCACAGTGCAGGGACAGTGGCCACCATGCAGGGACAGGCACCGTGCAGGGACAGTGGCCGCGCAGGGACAGCCCCCGCCCTGAGCACTGCCCAGTCCCCGAGCCGCAGTGCCCCGCAGTTTGCCAGGGCTCCGGCAGCCCTCGGCCCAGGAAGCTGCGGCTCAGCCCCTGCTGCCTGCCGGGGTTTCTGTGTTCGGGACTTTGTCCCCTCTCCCTCCCACCCCCAGCCCGGCCCGGAGCAGCTTCCCCGGGTGTCCCCAGGGGCTGAGCGGAGCCCCCAGGGCCGGCAGGGCGAGGGAGGGGAGCTGTACCTTCCTGCGGGGCGTTGCTGTCCCACACAGACCACATCTGCACGAAGAAGAAGGGAGTCCAGCACACGATGAAGGCCAGCACGATGATAAAGGTCATTTTGACTGTCCGGATCTTGGCTTTCGAGATGAGCCTGGTGCTGCTGACCCTGGCAAACACCACCCCGCCGCGGGAGCCCGAGCCCAGACCCACGCTGGGCCCGTGAGCCGTCTTCAGCTTCACGTTCTGCCAGATTTTGAAGCTGATTAAGCCGTAGCAGATGCTCAGCATCAACACAGGGATGATATAGACCATGAGGGTGATCCAGGTAACGTAGGCTTTCGGTCCCCACGGCTGGATGAAATCCGCCCAACAGTCGTAAACCCCGTTCCCCACATCCCTTAGAGAAAATATGTGGATCTGAGGGATGCTGACCAGCAGGCACAGCAGCCAGGTGAGGAGGACGGAGACCCGGTCGGCCCTCCTGTGCAGGGACCTCAGCGGCTGACAGATGGCCAAGCAGCGGTCCAGGGACATCAGCAGCAGCATGTAGGTGGAGGCGAACATTCCCACCACCTGCAGGTACTTGATCAAGCGGCACAGGAAGTCTGGCCCGTAGAACCTGAAGGTGATGTCCCAGATGAGCTGGGGCAGCACCTGGAAGATGGCCACGACCAGGTCAGCGATGCTCAGGTGCTTCATGAAGAAGTACATGCGGGAGTGCTTGTGGCGGGTGGTGTGGATGGCCAGGAGCACGCACAGGTTGCCGGTCAGGGCGAGGAACAGGATGAGGCACAGGACCGTCACCTCCACCTTGGCCATGTCCTCGTTCCTCTTCAGGGGGTCGGCGGTGCTGTTCCTGCCGGCGCTCAGGTTCTCCGGCCGGAGGCTGCCGTTCCCCAGGGAGCTGTTGATGATCCAGGTGCTGCTCCCCGCCAGGTACAGCTTCTCCATGGCCAGCGCCGGCCCGCATCGAGCCTGGGGCAGGGTGAGGCCAGAGGGCGGGCAGAGAGCGGGCAGAGCTCCTGGCGATGCGTTCCCGTGCGGTAGCCGGCCGTCCCCGCCGCTCTCTCCGCGTCTCCGCGGTTCTCAGCGTTCCACGGCTGCTCTCCGCGTGCCCCGCTCCGTGTCCCCTGCCGTCCCCTCCCCGCCGTGCCGCTCCCTCTGCCCGCCCGTCCGTGTCCCCGTGTCCCGGCTGGCGGCTCCTCGCCGTCCCCTGGCCGGTCCCTCGGCGTCTCCGCGGGCGGCGGCCCCGCTCCAGCCCCGGCGCGGGGGCCGGCCGAGCGGCAGGGGCGGGTCCGGCCCGGCCCCTCGGGGCCCGCCCGCGGCCTCTGCCCCGCGCCCGGACCCGCCTCAGCATCTTCCCCGCGCCCTCCGCGCAGCGCGGCCGATCGCGCTCCCCGCCGGCGGCGCCGCTTCCCGCAGCTCCTTTCGGGCAGTCCCGGTTCTCTGCAGCCCCTCTCGGGCAGCCTCGATTCTCTGCAGCCCCTTTCGGGCAGCCCCGTTCCCCGCAGCCCCTCTCGGGCAGCCTCGGTTCTCTGTAGCCCCTTTCGGGCAGGGCCGCTTCCCACAGCCCCTCTTTGGCAGCGCCGCTTCCCCGCGGCCCCGTTCCCCCGGGCAGCGCCGCTTCCCCGCAGCCGCTTTCGGGCAGCCCCTCTCCCCCGGGCAGCCCCGGCTCCCCGCAGTCCCTTTCGGGCAGCCCCGGTTCCCCGCAGCAGCTTTCGGGCAGCCCCTCTCCCCCGGACAGCCCCTATCCGTTCGGACAGCCCCGGTTCCCCGGGCAGCCCCGGTTCCGGCGCGGTGCCGCGAGGGGCAGCGGCGGAGCGGGGCTGCGCTGACGGGCGGGAGCCATCAGCCCTCAGCCCAAAGCCCCCGGGGTGGCGGCCCCGGGCACGGCGCGGAGGGAGGGAGGGAGCACGGACGGGCCCTGCCCTGCCCTGCCCGAGCTGCCGTCGCAGGACACCCAGGGAAGGTTCCCCCGCAGGTGCCAGCCCGGCCTCGTCCCAGGAGCAGGCTCAGGAGTTTGTCACTCGGCAATGAACACACCCACCAAGAACTTCTCTCTTCTTTCAGGAGGAAGATTTCAGAGTATTATTTCTATAAAATAAAGCAGTACTATGAGTGACACCATTTGTCACCAGCTCACCAGCACAGCTCAATGGCTGTCCCCATTTTCAGGCTCCCTACAAGGGATCCAGAAACTGAACGTGCAGGTGGGATGCTGAGAAGAGCATGGAACCCTCCCAGTCCCCCCTCAGTCCAGCAGCCCTGAAGGCCCCCAGCATCACCACCCTTTGCTCCCCACTTCCAAGTCACATCTCAAACCCTCCTCAGCCCAGCCTTAGGCCCTGAACAAACATCCCTGCAGCTATTTTTAAAGATTTTTGGGAAGTTTTAGCTCCATGCAGGATGAAGAAATGTTACATACTTTGGCACGTTCTTCCCTCTAGGGTTCACGTTCTTCCATCTTCAGGCAATAAAACTGCTGTGGGAATCGCTGCTCACCATGTGCAACGCTTCTTTTTTTACTGCTCTGCTGGTTCTGGGAGAGCTCTCAGGGAGGAGGTGGCTGGGGGCAAAGGGGAGGCAAGGAAAGGTTTGCCCTTGGCTTCTGCTCCGTTCCTTGGGGACTCAGGTGTGGCTCAGCCCCCGTGAGAGGTGCCTGAGGGGAGGCAGAGCAGCCACTGCTCCTCTCTGGCCTTGGCTGAGGTGTCACTCATGGCTGCACAGACACAGCTCCGTCCAGAACAGACCTGAGCTGCTGCAAAGAGCCCAGCGGCCCCGGTGCAGCCCCTGCAGGAGTGCTGTGCAGCTCTGAAGGGCATTCCCTGGCAGCGGGGAGCCCCAGTGCTCCATGGGGCAGAGCTGTGCCAGGACGGACCCTGTTTGTCCCCATGCCAGTGCCACGCTGCTCCCAGCGCCACCCGCCCTGACACACTGCTCCCAGCGCCACGCTGCTCCCAGTGCCACCTGCCCTGACACACTGCTCCCAGTGCCACGCTGCTCCCAGTGCCACCTGCCCTGACACACTGCTCCCAGCGCCACACTGCTCCCAGCGCCACACTGCTCCCAGCGCCACACTGCTCCCAGCGCCACACTGCTCCCAGTGCCACACTGCTCCCAGCGCCACCTGCCCTGACACACTGCTCCCAGCGCCACACTGCTCCCAGTGCCACACTGCTCCCAGCGCCACCTGCCCTGACACGCTGCTCCCAGTGCCACCTGCCCTGACACACTGCTCCCAGCGCCACCTGCCCTGACACACTGCTCCCAGTGCCACCTGCCCTGACACACTGCTCCCAGTGCCACGCTGCTCCCAGTGCCACACTGCTCCCAGCGCCACACTGCTCCCAGCGCCACCCGCCCTGACACGCTGCTCCCAGTGCCACCTGCCCTGACACACTGCTCCCAGCGCCACCTGCCCTGACACACTGCTCCCAGTGCCACGCTGCTCCCAGCGCCACCTGCCCTGACACACTGCCGTGCCTTGGGGTGCAGGAGCAGCTCAGTGGGGATTGCACACCCGGAGCCCGAAATCTGGGGATTGATCAGGATAACATCCGGCTCCCAGTGCCCTTCCCAGGTGAGCCCATCAGGGCTGGGCATTGGCCCCCAGCAGCCAGAGATGCTCAGTCCTTATTCAGGCAAAGCTGCAGCTGCTCCACGGCTAAAACCCAAACACACGTGATTTTGAAGCAAAGAATCCTGTGAGAATCAAAGGGCTTTCTGAGTCATCCCCTACTTCTCCCAGCTTTAAATGTTCAGGGATGCCTGAACAGCTGGAAACAGTTTTATTTTAAAATACATGCTTTGGGATAATCAAAAGCACAAACACTAAATAAAGCTAAATTTAATTGCATTTTGGTTTACTGCTGGATCTGAAATAGCTGTTTTTCCAATAGCTATCTGGAATCACAACTTTATGGTCCCCAGGACAGAAGAGGGCTGGCAAGACGTCAAGCCCAGGCCACAGCTTTGCAGATGGAGCTGCAGCCGCCCATGAACTCGTGCGTGGCTGCAGCACACAGCCGGGAATGGTACCTGGCTGCTCTTGCTGGGAATTTCTCTTTATCCTAGCATTTTTAACTAGTCCTCATCTCTTGCACTCAGCCTGCAGGAAGCCTGACTCTGGTAAATCTACTAAAACCATGGAGATGAGCAGTGCCATGGACATTCTTCATGGAAAAGGCATACCTGTGCTTCAACACAGAGCTGATGGATGCTGGGTGTTAAATCAGGCTTGGGAACATCCTGAGGGCACAGTAAATTACAACTTTTCAGTGTCTTTCTTAAATGTACACATGAGTAAATTCTCAAGTCTGGTATCAAATTCCTCCATGGCTCACCAGCTGGTGTGCTGATTTCCAGAAAAATACACAATCAATATTGTAATCTGCACCAAAGGAAACAAGGCTTTGGAGACAAAACGTGGAAATATCAGCAATGCACAGAACTGTTTGGTCCCAAACGCGTGCACCCAATTCCTTGTGTTACTGAGTTCACTGCTCAGGGGAACATAAGCCAGTCCAGGCCCGTGTGCTCAGATGCAGGTGACAGTCACACTGCTGGGTAATGCTGTGTCATCCATCACACCCTGCCTGCTCCATCCCCTGGCTATGGTATCTCTTTGTTAGCTGAAAAACAACAACGACAACAAAAAAACCCAGCCAAAAACCTAGTACTCAGATTGATCACAATTAAAAAAAAAAACAACAGAAAAAACCCTGCAGCCATAGTCAGTCCCAGAACTGCTGGCCTGTCACACCACCTGGCTGTCAGACGTGCCATGGCTGGGGAGGGTTTTGGAAACTGAGTCATCAGAACATCACTGGGAAGGGAGAAGGAGCCAGAGAAGCTGACTTGTGTATGCAGACAAATGGAGAAGGGAGGATCTGCTTGGATGCTGCAGTCTCGAGTTCTATAAAGCATTCACAGCAGAAAGAGAATTTACATGAGTTTGTGCACATATCGAGATAATTTCTCTTTTCTTCCCCACTGTGAAGAGAAAAGAAGTGTGGGACTACACTAAACTTATTCAGTGCTAGAGAACCTTTCACATCATGTCCCTAAAAGGTTTGTTGGACTCAAACCATTTCCTCTGGGTCCCCAGCTCACTGAAATCCATCAGCCTCTGCTCCCAGGGGCTCCAGCCCACACCAGCACTGGAGCCGGAGTCAGGCTCGTCCAGCTTTGGGAGCTAAACCCTGGAAGAAGAGCCTGGGCCTCCTGGCATTGAGCCAGCACACATTTCCATGCCCACAGTCCCTGGCACTCCAGTGAAGCCCTGCAGACACATCCGAGAGCGCTCTGAGGTGCCACCTGTGCCCCAGGGCGAGCCCCGGGACACTGGGGCAGGGCTCTGATCAAATCCAGCAGCTTAAACCCCCTTAGAGGAGAGCAGGCCGTGGATCCCGCAGATGCGACAGTGCAGGCTGACGCTGTCACCCAGACAGCGCCACCCGGGCTGGGCACGGCCTCGGAGCGTGGATGCAGGGTGGTTTCTGCGCAATTCCCTCTCCCCCCTGCCCATCGCACCCCGAGCCCAGCAAAGGGGGCAGAGGCTCTCCCAGGCACCTCCCCGAGCAGCCAGGCCTGCACGGGGCTCCCAAGGACACCGTTTGTGCTGAAACGTTCCTGCTTCATCCCATTACGGCCTCAAAGCCCATAAAACCAATGGAGCCTGCCCAGAGCCTGGGAGTAACAAGTCGGGATAATAAAATTGAAATATGTATCCATGTGGTTTTTAACAAAGAGGCTTCAGGTTCAAGCTGTTGGGAGATAACCCAATCATTTTACTACTTCTGGGGGGGATTACTACATTTGTGTGTAACCTCAAGCTGTTGATTGCCGTGCCCTGAACTCCCAGTCACCATCAAGGAACGAAAAGCAAAGCGAGACCCAGAGCCCTGGGACCCACACCTGCAGCAGTGACAGACAGGAGCTGCACACCCAGTGCCACACCCAGTGCCACC